CCCGCCGCCCCCGCCGGAGACCGCCCGGGCCGGGGATCTGGGCCTCGGCGCTTCCTCGGCTCCGGCGGACGGTTCTCCGCAGCCTCATGGATTCCAATAGGGAGTGGACCGGGAGGCACCCCAAGAAGGACAGGAAGAGGAGGCGAGCCCCGAGCAAGCTGGTCGGGGCAGCTGGGGCGATGACAGTCCATCGGGATCTCGAGGAGAGGCAGCCCGAGGCCAAGGTGAGCAACAGGGAGCCCGAGCGGCGGCGGGGACCTCCCGTGGCGCCCGTCCCTGCTCTCCGAACCGGCTCTCTGGTCTATAAAGTGGGCGTCGCCGGGCACGTGTGCGTGCGTGCCCAAGATCCCGAGAGGAGAACGGAGAAGGGATTGCGGCGTGACCATCCCCCAGGGGGTGATTTCTCGCTTTCTGTCTCTCTGTCTCTGCCTGGCGAGCGCACGCGCCCTATAGCAAAAACCTCTCCAAAAGAAAAAAAAATGGTCGTGAGGATGTACTACCACCGACCCGTGGGTCGTTACTGGCGCCTCAAACCCTGTACCGTGCCTGGCACGCGATAGGAATGTTTGTTCGCTAAGTTTACTGAGGCTCTAGGATCTGAGGACATATCCCAGGGCTCAGCCACAGTGTACTGCCCTCCTGCGGGTTACTCCCGACGAGTGAGTAGAGTGAGTAGTAAGGCTGATCATCCTTATCTTCCATTGAGAGCTGAATATAGTCCTCCCGCCAGTCCTCAAACGTCTTGTGCTGGTGGGCTGATGTTACTCGGGGAGATGAAGGTCCCTGTGAATAAACAAAGATCACTGGTGGCTTATGCTCTGGTGAACAAAGATAGAAGGTAAGTTAAGCTATATAGAATGTTAAAGGTTAGTGCTATGAAAAAAGTATTATTAAAATAAGATTCCCTATTAGGAAAAAATATATATCTTGTAAAGGCTAATAACGTAAGAAGTGCAAGGAGGGGCCAGCAGGTGTCCTTGTGGTTAAGGCTCTGGATTCCCACATGTCCGACCATGGTTTGAGTTCGAGACCTGGCAGGTTGAAGATCCTGTCTGGCACGCGTGCATGCATCCCACCCAGAATCCTGAGAGGAGACTGGAGGAGAAGGGATTGCAGTGACCATCCCTCTGGAAGGGTGATTTCTCACTTTCTCTCTGTCTCTGGTGCACACATGCACCCTATGACAAAAACCTCAGAGAAGAAAGTGCAAGGAAGTTGACAGTCTCATTTTTTTTTTTAATTTTTGAAATCTCAAAAATTTCAAAATCTCTCATCCATTATTTGAAAGTAGTTGGAGACACCATGCTTTATTTCCACCCATCCCCTCCACTCAGATATTTTACTGTATATTTACTTTTTAAAAAACCTTTTTCCAAGACCAGCAGTTAGTGTAATGGCTATGTCCCTGGACTCTCATGTAGTCGACTGCGGTTCACGTCCCAGACCCGGTGGCTTAAAACTCACACTGGGTGCATGCCCAAGATCCCAAGAGGAGAATGGAGGAGAAGCGATGACCACACTGCAGTCCCTTCTCAATTCTCCTTTAGGGATTTTGAGCATGCACACGTGCCCAGCATGATTTTCAAGCCACCAGTTCCAGGACTTGAACCCCAGGTGGCCATTGGAAATCCAGCTCCTTAACCAACACACCATCTGCTGGCCCCTAGTGCATGTTTTCTATAAACGTACACTTTTTAGTTCTCCGAAAACCTCAAAAGATCTGGCAACTGTCCCTGTATTTCCACATGGCAACAATTTGTCAAAACTGAGTGGTATATCTTCCTCCTTCAGATGGGGGTGTGTACACTCTATCCTCCCACCTGGCCTGCTTATCTTATTTGCATTATAATCACAATGCAACCATCAAAATCAGGAAGGTACATGGACATAATTGCTGCTATCTAATCCTCAGGCCCCATCCAAGTTTCTCTGATTCTAGTAATACCTTTTAGCAACAGGATTCATGTGTTAAATTTAGTTATGCCTCTTTCTGAACATTTTCCTCAGTCTTTTCTGGACATTCATGACTTGACTGCTTCTGAATAATCCTGGGCCAACTATTTCATAAAATGCCCCCCAAGCTAAGTTTGTCTGTTTCTTTATTAATTGCAGGTTTAGTCAGCAATAATAGTGTCATTTCTTGAGGTATTTATGGTATGACAGGCAGTAGCCTTCCCATATTACACTTGCACTCTCTCATTGATCTCCCAGTAATCTTCTGAGAAAGAATTACGGTTATAGGTGAAGACACTGTCCTGGGAAGGCTAAGGCACTCAGCTAGTGTGACTCCAGGTCTGGAGCTCCTAACTGCTGTATTCTGCCGCTTCCCGGATCAAAACGAAAGTGGTAATTATCTCAGTTGTGCAAGTACAGGTGACTTCTATTTTCATTTATCTATTTATCTATTTATATTTTATCTGTTTTACCTTTCTCTATTATCAGATACCTTTCTCTATTATTGAGCCTTTTATCACAAGCGTAAGTTACCATAATGATGAGATAGAAGTGTAGATGGTTTTCTTAAGGAGCGGAGGTGCTTCACTGAACTCCCTGTTGCCAGGATAAATTGACAGCATTGACTTCGTTGATCTATGATCTGGCTCCTGCTTCACTCCTCACGTCTCCACTCGCATCAATACTTCACAACATGCAATCGTGGTTGCCGTCAAACCGAGCTACATGTTTGGACACATGCTTTGTCCACCCTGGCAGACTAGTTATTTTTATAGCTCAGCCCCAATGTTTTCATCTCGGTGAAGCCATCCCCACAAGTCTAACCCCCAGGGCAGTTAGCCTCTTTAGTGTCAAACCTTTATTCTAGTACTGCCCACACTGTATTGGAATGACCTGCTCTTGCATTTTTTTCCCCTAGTAGAATGGACTCCTTGTGAGCAAGAATCACGTTTTATCCTATGCCTACATGTCACTAAGTGTCTATAATTCAGGTTCTCTATCAGTATTTATCAAATAGTCTATTAAGTGATGTTACCAAAGGTTATTGTCTTAGATATTTATTTCTAAATAATTAACCATCCTCATGTTTGGTTTGATGTGAAAATAATCAAGACACTAGACTAACTTAATAATTTGCCTTGCTTTGTTGCTATTCTCAGTAATGTTTGCCATGTCCTGATTTTTTTTTTTTTTTTTTTATAGAAAGCCCGCTTGTCTACCATTTTATTTGCTGAAAATTGTGAAGTAACACATGGCCAACTTTGTGAATTATTGAAGTATGCAGTTCTTGGTAAATCCAGAGTTCCTAAACCCAGGTATGACATGAACTGAAGCAGTGGGTATAGATCAGAGGTTTCAAACTGATACCTAGAGGGCTGTATCTGGCTTGCTGGTATTTGTTTGCCATGCCACTATGTCCTAAATTTTTATGATAGTTAACAAGAATGAAATTTGAGAACGCTTGTAGAAAAATCCAGATGTTTTTGGTTCTTCAAAAATCTGGAAAGATTTGGCAACTGTCCCTGTATTCTCACAAGGCAGCAATGTGTCAAAGCTGAGTGGTGTAGACTCCTCCTTTTTTTTTGGACAGGTTTTTGCTGTAGGGTGCATGCGCTCGGCAGAAAGACAGACATACAGAAAGCGAGAAATCACCCTGCGGGGGGATGGCCATGCCACAAACCCTTCTCCTCCATTCTCCTCTCAGGATCTTGGGCATGCATGCACACATGCCCGGCGTGAGTTTAAGCCATCGGGTCCGGGACTTGAACTGCAGTTGACTACGTGGAGTCCAGTGACATAGTCATTACTCCATCTGCTGGTCTCAGCTTCCTCCTTTAGATGGGATGTGTACGCTCTATTGTCTCACCTGGCCCGCTTACCTTATTTATAGTATTTGTCTGGCCACCATTATTTAGTGTGTCACCTCCATGGTAGAACTAATTTAAGTAACACAACCACATATTACGCATTTTGGTTAATCTTCCTTTCACAAATAAAGGACAGAGAGAGTTTTGTTACTGTGATATTGTCAATGCCATTATGTAATGTCTTATAGAAATTATTTTTACATAGTGCCAATGAAGAAATTTCCAAATACATACATCTCTCCAGGGGAGGTTGTTATGAAATGACTGGATTCCTCAAAAGCCATCTTCTGCATCAATAAACACCGCCATTGGTCTGTCAATTAATCTGAAACTACGTTTGTTGAAACCAGCCATGATTACCTGCCTTAGGAAGGGCTGCAGAGAAAGTTGAAGTCTTAGAAGTATGCCTTTGTGGGACCAGCAGTTAGGGTAATGGCTATGTCGCTGGACTCCCACGTAGTCGACCGTGGTTCACGTATTGGACCCGATGGCTTAAAACTCACGCCGGGCGCATGTGTGTGTGTGCCCAGGATCCCGAGAAGAGAATGGAGAAGGGATTGTGGGGTGGCCATCCTCCTGGGGGGTGATTTTCCCGCTTTCTATCTCTCTGTCGCTCTGTCTGGTGAGTGCACGCGCCCTATAGCAAAAACCTCTCCAAAAAAAGGAAAAAAAAAGAAGTATGCCTTTGTAACATGCACTTAGTTATTAATAAAACTAAATCCTAACAGGACTGTAGGTTTAAGTGCATTGCTTTCACTTGGTGTTTTAACTTCATTTGAATGTAACAAATACTTAACCTCAAGAGATCTTCATTGAATTCTTTATTTCAACTCCTCCAGGTCTAGGCAGTCATTGAGTGATGATAAATTTCATTAGGGGGAACCAGCAGATGGTGTAATAGTTACGTTGCTGGATCCCATATACTCCACCAGGATTCGAGTCCCAGGCACAGTGGCTTAAACTCACACTAGGCCCATGTGGGCACATGTGCAAGATACCAAGAGGAGAATGGAAGAGAAGGGATTGCATTGTGACCATCCCCCTTGGGGGATGATTTCTCAGTTTCTCTCTGACTCTCTGGTGAGTGCACACGCCATATGGCAAAAATCTCTCTCAAAAAATAAATTTCATTAGGTGTCACGCACTGCCTTTTTTTCCCTCACTCTCTGGATGCCTGTAACTGACTTGTGAGCATCATTTTTTTTTTTTTTGTCATAGGATGTATGTGCTCACCAGAGAGTGAAAGGAATAAATAGTGAAAAGGAAATAGAAATCACCCCCCAGGGAATAGCCCATCTCTCCACACTTTTCCTGGGATTTTGGGCATGCACGTACACATGCCCCTCATGATTTTCATGTCACTAGGTCCAGAACTCAAACTGCAGTTGGCCCTGTAGAAGTTTAGGGCCTTAACCACCACACTACCTGCTGGCCCCAAAGGCATCATTCTTAGATGTATTGGTTTGATTTATCAACAGCTGGTGCCAGCTTTTTCACCGAAACAAACTGAACAACGTGGTGATTTTTGTTCTTCAGGGAATGAGTCAGCTACAATTTTACAGGTTCTATTTGGAGTTTGGATTTCTCCGAAAGGCATTCCGACATGTAAGTCAAGAAAACTTCGTACTGAGGGCTAAAGCAGGTTCTCCCATCCTGAGACTGATACATGTGGTTGGGACCATGCTTCTTGGCACCTTAGGGGATATTGAAAGCAAAATGGGTTAAGATTCAGAGAACTCATGTTGAGGATAGATTTGTCTCTTGATTTTCTTTGGTAATCTAAACAGAACACTAATTCCCAGATTGTAATTTATAACTCTCAGATTGATATTGTCCTATTTTATTTGGAGTATGGTATTTTCACAACTTAGAAAACCTGTGTAAAATCTGTCCAGCCCTTTGGCCTAGTAGTTAAGGGAACCAGATCTCACATGGCCAAACATGGTTTGAATGCCATCCCCAGTTGCTTAAAAACATGCTGGGTGCATGTGTATGCATGCTTGAGGTCCCAAAGGAGGAAGAAATAGAGGAAAAGGGATTGTGTAAAGACCATGTCCCATTGTGGGGTGATTTCTCCCTTCCCCTCATTGTCTTGTTTCTCTGGTGAGTACACATGCCCTGTGGCAAAGAGAAAAATGTTGTGTAAAATCATTGTTTTTCTGCCTTTTTTTTTTTTTTGGAGAGATTTTTGTTATAGGGCGCGTGCGCTCGCCAGAAAGACAGAGAGAGATAGAGAGATAGAAAGCGAGAACTCACCCCCCAGTGGGGATGGCCACGCTGCAATCCCTTCCCCTCCATTCTCCTCTCGGGACTTTGGGCATGCATGCATGCGTGCCTGGCGTGAGTTTAAGCCCCTGGGTCCGGGACTCAAACCGCAGTCAACTACATGGGAGTCCAACAACATAACCGTTATGCTTACTGCTGGTGCCCCTTTTCTAACTTTGTTTTAAAGAAAAAAAAAAAGCATAAGAGTAAGCACCCCTTAAAACAGTATCCAGAGGACCTGTTGACTCCATATTCCAATAGTCTGTTGACTCCATTTTCCCATAGCTTCCTCCATTTCCTATTGGCCCTTTTAAGTTGCTGAACTCTAGTTCAGTCTCTTTGAGTCTCCTTTTTTTTTTTCTCTCTTCCGTTTATTGAGCACTTCCTAGGTGCTGGGACCTCTATCATACTGCATGCATCATTATCTTGAATTCTTATAATAGCCCTGTAAGCGAGATAACCTTTTTATTCCCATTTTATACATAAAAAACTGAATACCTTCTAAAATGATAGAGCTAGAATAAAACCAGGTAAGCCCAAGGCTAGAGCTCTCAATCTCTTGGTACTGTTGTATCAGCTGCCCTAACTATGCGGCATGCTATCCAATGAAATAATAGATAATAGAAATGCTTTGAAAAATAATAAGGGACTTTCCTTATCTAAGCTAAAATATTTCTGTAGTGTTTGTGCCTTTTTTTTTGAGAGAGAGCTATTTTTACTAGAGGGCACATGCATTCACTGGAGAAGGAGACAGAGAGACAGAAAGCTAGATGTTACCCCATCCCCCAGGGGGATGGCCGCGCCTCAATCCCTTCTCTTCCATTCTCCTCTTGAGATTTTGGGCATGCACGCACACGCACCCAACATGAGCTTTAAGTCTCCGAGTCTGGGACTTGAACTGCGGTCACCTATGTGGTAGTTCAGCAATGTAACCATTACACCATCTCCTGGTCTCCCCATGTTTGTGCTTTTTATGATGTATAATCAAAGAAGCAAAGGACATTTTCGAAGGTGGGGCGGTAAATATGGCTTTGAAAAATCAGTCTTCCTTTTACAATGCAAATGTTTAAGGCCTAGTTCTTAGCACTGAACTACAAAAATCCAGGCCTTTCACAGTATTGCAACTACCATTAAGCATTTTTGTAAAAATTCATTAATGTGTTTTCAGAAATTCCGCTTGCCTCCTCCATCATCTGATTTTCTAGCTGATATCATTGGACTGCGAAAGAAACCAATAACTGGAGATCTGCCCAAGACAATGGGAGGTATGGCTGTGACTATCACTTACGATTGGCATATTCTAAAAGATATTATGAACATGATACGATGACTAGGTTGTTGGGAAAGTCATGACGTATTTTTCTATGCAAAAACGCATCGTGACTTTCCCGACACCCCAGTAAGTTAGTCATTCAAGTTTATTGTTGTAAACAATGAAACTCAATTCCTTACTAAAGCAAAATGTAACTTTTTTAAAGGACAAGATGGGTAGGTACCCAGGGAGATTAGATAGCAGGAACACAAGTCAGGATTTCTGGCTCAGAAATCATCTGGTTACCTTAGGTAGATAAGATTTCCTACATGGCACTGACTCTTTTTTTCTTTTAGATTTGTTTATTTATTTAATTCCATTTATTATTATTATTTTTTAATTTGACCAGACAAAGACAGACAGAGAGAGAGAGAGAGAGAAAGCAAGCCTCCAGGTCTGGAACTCAAACCACAGTCAGCCATGTGAGAATCCAGTGCCTTTAACCACCACGCCACCCTTGGCTCTTAAATTGGACCCTAAAGAATTACTTTGGGGACCACAGTTAGCGTAATGGCTGTGTCGCTGGGCTCCCATGTAGCCCACCACGGTTCAAGTCCTGGACCCAGTGGCTTAAACTCACGGCAGGCGCATGTGCGTGTGTGCCCAAGCCCCCGAGAGGCGAATGGAGGAGAAGGGATTGTGGTGTGGCCATCCCCTCTGGGGGATCGTTTCTCACTTTCTGTCTCTTTGTCTTTTTGGCAAGCACATACGTCTTATAGCAAAAACCTCTCCAAAAGAAAAAGAATTACTTTGAATAAATTTAAAACTGTCACTATCACTTACTTGTACCCATGAAGGTACAAGTAAGAAGAAAGACCTTGCCTTTGATTAATGTAAGGACTAATACTGCTCACAGTGAAGAATAAAGGTTTAGGTTCTAACCAGCTGAAAGAAATAGTCATGATAGCAGTGTATCCTGGAAGAAGTTATAGGTAAACTTCTGATTTGTTTGTTTATTTTACTTGGGGTGAGTTCATTGCACTAGGAAGATATTCAATGATGCTTTTTTGTGATCAGAGTAATTGAATAATTATATTGATAGAACATGAAAAAATGGGGAGGAGAGGAGAGGAGATTCCTTTCGTCTTCTCCAGAACTGTGCTTCCTATTAATATTATCCAACATATTGATAGCATCTGACTTCTAATTTCTTTTCTTTGTATTTGTTCTTCTCTTTCTAATAGATTATCTCATCTGCCACTGTGTTTAGTTTGACCTGTACATTACTATTAGTTTTGTATTTTTTAAAGAGATTTTTTGCTATAGGGTACTTGTGATTGCCAGAGAGACAAAGACAGAGAGACAGAAAATGAGAAATTCACCCCCCCCCCCAGGAAGATGGCCATGCCACAATCCCTTTGCCTTCTTGCCTCTTGGGATTTTGGGCACACACGCACACGTGCCTGGCATGAATTTTAAGCTGCTGGGTCTGGGACTTGACCTGCAGTCGACTACATGGTAGTCCAGCAACATAATCATTAAGTATGCCAACTGCTGGTCCTGGACCTATATATACATTATTTAAGCATCTTTGAGTAAATTATAGAATTGTCATGATGAGATTCTAGGCTCAAGAGTAAAGGCATCAAGTTGTAAAAGAAAACATATAATCAAGGAAAAGCAATGAGTCATGGTTTAAGACTATAGCTTATTGGGAATGCTGAAGTTTGGAATAGAAAGAGATAGTGGTGAGAGACAAAGCTGGAGAGGCAGATTCATTAAGGACTTGTCCGACAGGCTTTAAATACCATACTAAGGAGTTTGGGTTTTATTTTGTAGTCAGAGGATCCAGAGGGGTTATGACTGCTTCTCTATCCACTTAAGGATTTTGCTTCATCTTCTCATCCTAAATATTGAAGTAGGCAGGCATAATCTATAGCACTCTGATATTCTCTCAGTCTTTCCTTTGGAGTATTCATCTATTTTCCCCACATTTTTTAGCTATGAATCTTCTATGAATACTTCCTGGATCTTTATCTCTAGGTCTGATGTCCCACATTCTAGGCCTGCATTTTTGGCTTGCTGGGCATTTCTACTTGGATAGTCTGCTATCCTCTGAATTATAATAAAACTAAAAGCATTTTTCTCATCCTTAAATAATAGGTGCCATCTTCAAATCCCTTGTTCTATTAATATCATTTTCTGAGACACAGGTCTTGAATTTTAAATTTACATTTCTTTTGACTTCATGTTCCAGTCTGCATGGCTTGGTTCCCTTGCTCCTGTCAGTCCACTGAAGTCAACTCAAGTGACGTAGCCATTATGCCAACTGCTGGTCTCGTCTCCTTTACTTTTTGTAGCCCTTATCCCCACCTGATGTATAACATGTTTGTTTATTGTCCGTCTTCTCAACTAGAATTTAAGTTCCATGAGGAAACTTTGTTGGTTTTATTCATTGGGAAATTCTTAGTGGCTAGGGCAACTGATGCATAATACTTTGTTGACGAAATAGGATGATTTTATCACCATTCTCTACCAATTTTCTTGTGTAATATCCATATATGTATATATCTCCATCCCTTCTATCATGTTAATCCAAATTCTACTCATTTTTAGTTTGCCAGATTTATTTACTTATTATTATTATATTATTATTATTATTTTTGCCACAAGGGTGCATGTACTTGTCAGAGAGAGAGAGAGAGGAAAAGTGAGAAATCACCTCCCAGAGGGTGATGGCCATGTCACACTTTCTCCATTCTCATCTCAGGATTTTGGGGCACAAACATATACATGCTGAATCTGGGACTCGAACCATGCTTGGCTATGTGGAAGTCCAACTCCTTAATCACCACGCCACCTGCTGGCCCCTTTTTTGCCAGAATTAATGGCAAAACCTTGTCTAGTTTCTCTGTTATGCTTCCTATAAACCTTTGAGGTTAATCTTTTTAAAATCATTATTTAATTTAATTTAATTTATTATTATTTTTTAAAATTTGACCAAAGAGAGAGAGAGGAAAAGTGAGAAAGCAAACCATCAGGTCTGGGATTCGAACCATGGTCTGCCATATGAGAGTCTATCAAATGCCATGCCACCTGTTGGCCCCGATGTTTATCTTTCTTAAAATACTGTTGTGGTTATATTACTGCCCTTAGGAACTTTCTGTTGCTCACCATTATGTGTTGAAAATTCAAACTCTTGAGCTCAGCCTTCATATTGGTCTACAAAATTTTTATTGTTTTCTCGCTACCTTGTTTTCTATATTCCTCTCTTACCCAGAATGCCCTATTCCATTTACAATATTTTGACTCTTTTGATTGCAAGGAACAGATACTTATTCAAGCCATATTAAGTAAAGAGAGTATTGTTTGAAAGATCCATATAGACTAGAAAGATATCAGGAAACTACCTCTAGGAAGAGCTGTTCTCCATCCATTTCATAACATCAACTTTTTAAAAAAAATTAATTTCATTTATTTTAAATTTGCTATAGGACACATGTGTTTGCTAGAGAGAAAGAGAGAGAGAGAGAAAGTACCCCTTGGGGGATGACGGCACTACAATCTCTTCTCTTCCATCCTCCTCTCGGGATTTTCGGCATGCACACATATACACCCAGTATTTTTTTCCAAGCCCCTGGAGCTGGGGCTTGAACCATGCAGTTAGCTATGTAGAGTGCAGTCAGCTTAACCACCATGTCACCTGGCTGGCTCTAGAACATCAACTTCTCTGTGTATGTTTTCTAATGTCTTCTAACCAATTTGTTCTCTGTTCTCTGTATTTTCTATTAATAGTTCAGATTCTAGAAGCAGGCAGCTTGATAAGCTTAGCTAATTACCATCATCCTTTTGAGCATGTCTTCACAAGGAATATCAAGTCATGTAATGGAGAGGTCTAATGCACCAGTTGTTTGAATTTTTTTTTTCCAAGGCAGCTAATTTTTTCTTTCTTGAACCATCTCTATCCACCCTAGCATGAAATATATTCTCCCTCTTTTCCCTTTTGTGGCCTTTATTATTATAACACTTTTGGGACTTATTTTCTCTTTGTGTTCTTATTACTGTATTATATTGCAGGACCCCTTAAAAGTTGGAGCTGGGTCTTATACATCTTTTGAGTTTCAGTATGCTTCATCTACACAACATTGGAAACGTGTCCTCTGAGGTTCTTAAACTATGCACTTTAATATATGTTCAATTTTCTTTGTTTCAGGGTCTTTACCTTCTACTAGTTCAAAAGCCAACATTAATCTGCAGAATGACCCTGTCATTCAAAAATATGGCTCTAAGAAAGTAGGCTTGACCAGATGCCTTCTTACCAAGGATGAAATGAAAACATTTCACTTTCCGTTACCAGGTTGGTTCAAATTTAGTCTGATGTAAAAATACCTAGCAGTTTATTGACAAATACTACTATTGAAAGTTCATTTTTCTGGCTGCTTTTCTAGTGGCTTATACTAACTTATTCCATCTTCTATTAATAAGCACAGTGTTTTTTCAAAGTGTGGAATGTGTATGAGGATTGACCAAGTGATGATTTTAGGTAGCATGAACATGACATTACATGGCACTGAAATATTTACTGAGAAAGGTATTCATTTTCATTCTTTCTCATTCAGCTTTCTTTTATTCCTTTTTAATATATTCAAAAGAGCTAATATGTCTTTAGCATTTTAATGCTTCTCTATTACTTCTAATTCTCCTCCCAAGGAATTAGCCCCAGCCCCAGGGCCATGTGGGAGCTGAGCACCTTAACTACACCCCCCTTTTTTAAATTGCCAGCAAGTATATACGCTCTCCAGAGAGAAAAAAACACCTCCCCTCATGGGATGTGGTCACACCACAATTCCTTCTCCATTTCTGCATCCTTTCAGGATTTGGGAGACACACACACACACACACACACACACATACACACACACATACCCCTAGCGTGTTTCTCAAGCTTCCATGAGAGGAATTCAAACTGCTCCAACATGTGGGATCCAGCTCTCTTTACCACTAGGCTATGGGGCTGACCCACACTCTACTTTTCCTTAACAAATAGAGCAAGGGGGAACCAGCAGTTAGCGTAATGGCTATGTCACTGGACTCCCACGTAGTCGACCGCGGTTTGCATCTCGGACCTGGTGGCTTAAAAATCACGCCGGGCGCATGTGCGTGCGTGCCCAAGATCCCGAGAGGAGAATGGAGGAGAAGGGATTGCGGCGTGGCCATCCCCCCGGGGGGTGATTTCTCACTTTCTGTCTCTCTGTCTCTCTCTGTCTGTCTGGCGAGCGCACGCGCCCTATAGCAAAAACCTCTCAAAAAAAAAAAAAACAAAAACAAATAGAGCAAGTGTGATTTCAGAGCTCTGGTTGGTTGTATAGTAAGAATTTAATGGAACATGCTTTCATTTATTACCTCCTAATTACAGCAGTGATGCTAAATTTCTTTTGTTAAAGATATTTTTGTTGAGATATAATTAACAAATCACACAATCCACTCATTTGAAGTATACAATTTAGTAACTTTTAGTATGTTTATAGTGTTGTTCATCCATGATAGCGGTCTATTTTGAAACAGTTTCATCCCAAAAGAAACTCTGTACTATCATTTCAACTTCCCTGACTTTAGGCAACCATTAATCTACCTTTTATCTATAGTTTTATTCATTCTTGGTATTTCTTATCAATGGAATTTTACACTGCGTGGTCTTTGTGACTGGCTTTTTCTTTTCTTTTTTTAATTTCACCATAGGGTATTTGCTGGAGAGAGTCAGAGAAAGTGAATAAAAGTGAGAAAGTACCCCTCCCATGGGGAATAGTCACACTGCAATCCCTTTGCCTCAATTTTCTGGGCTTGCACACATACATACCCCGTGTATTTTTAAGCCACCAGGTTCAGGACTCGAGACACACTGTCGGCTGTATGGATGCCAGCCAACTTTACCATCATGCCATACAGGCTGGCCTGTAACTTAACTTTTTTCATTTGGCATAATGTTTTCATCCATGTTGTAGCATATAACAGTACTTTATTCATTTTCATTGCCTAACAATAATCCATCTATGGATATACTCTATTTTTTAAAAAAGAATTATTAATTTAATTTTATTTATTATTTATTATTATTATTTTAATATGCTATAGGGCATGTGGGCTCACCAAAGAGAGACTAGGGGTATGGGAAGAGGAAGTGAGAAAGCAAGGAAGCAAGCCATCAGGTTTCAGATTTGAACCATGGTCAGCATGCGGGAGTCAAGCACCTTAACCACCATGTCACCTGCTGGCTCCTGGATATACTCTATTTTATTGGTCCATTACATGATGAATTTCTGGGTCGTTTTTTGTGTGGACATACAGTTTTATTTCTATCGGGTATATACCTAGGAGTAGAACTGCTGGGTCACATTGTCACAGTGTTTATCCTCTCAGGAACTGTCAGCTTTTTGCCAAGCAGCTCCACTCTTTTATATTTCTACCAGTAATGTATCAGGGTTCTAATTTTTGCAAATTCATGTTGACACAAATGATCTGTTTTGATTATACTCATCTGACTGAATGTAAAGTGATATCTCATTGTGGTTTTGATTCGTATTTCTCTGACAGCTTGTGATGTAAGCAATGCTGAGATGAACATCTTTTCGTGTCCTTATTAGCCATTTGTATATCTCTGAAGAAATGTCTCTTCAGATCTTTTGTCTGTTTTTTTAATTGGGCTGTCTTTTTCATTATTGAGTTATTAGAGTTTATTAAATATTCTGGATGCAGAAATTTCCTTTTAAACTAAATTTAAGAAAAAAAGTCATCTGTGGGACCAGCAGATGGTGTAATAGTTATATTGGTGGACTCCCATGTAGTTGACCACAGTTCGAGTCCCAGACCTGGTGGCTTAAAACTCACACAGGGTGTGTGTGCAAACATGCCCAAAGGAGGAGACTGGAGGAGAAGGGCCATCCTTTCTGGGGAGTGATTTCTCGCTTTCTGTCTTTCTGTCTCTCTCTGTCTCTGGCAAGCACAAGTGCCGTATAACAAAAATATCTCTTAAAAAAGAGAGAGAGAGAGCAAAAGTCATCTGTAAAATGAAGTTAAAATTTAGTTTTTGGCGGTCCAGCAGGTGGTGTGGTGGTTAAGGTGCTGGACTTCCAGATGGCAGGGGCTTTTCAAGTCCCAGACCTGGCAGCTTGCTTTCTCACTTTCTCTCTCTCTGTGTCTTTCTACCTCTTTTTGGCGAGTGCACATGCCCTATAGCAAATCTAAAAAAAAATTATGATGATACTAAATAAAATAAGTAAATAATTCTAAAGGAAAAAATATTAGTTCTTATGTCAGAAGAATGCCATGAGGATTAAGTCAGCTAAAAGGTACTTAGCATGATGCCTAGCTGTATGAGTACTTTAAACCCTTAATTACGTTATTATTGCTGTTGATAATAAGGCGGGCAACGAGAATAGTGTCTCTTAGATTTAGAGATGCCCTTTTTTCTGGGATAGACCTTTTTTCATTCTTTTTATTGCAGTCAGTTGGAAATTTCAAGAAACTAGGAGATAGAAACTGGTTAAAGGTTTTCATATTCTCCTTTGTTTCTTGTCAAGTATGATCTAGACACTACCTTTACTGCTTCAGCCTCTGCCCGACCATATTGTAGAACCCCAGTGATTGGAGGCCTTTGGGTCCCTGAGCTGGATGTGCCTGGGTATTGACTTAAGGTACACAACAGAGGGAGTGCTCTTAGTCTGAAGTTGAGCTTCCGTAGGGAACTTTCAGGCTGTGATTTCAGAACATGCAGACAAGTCTCTGAACAGTGATTTCAGAGTAATGTGAAAGGTGGAATTAGCTAGAGGGGCATGAGCATGCGAATGTCACTTTCTGCCTGCTGTGATATCCTTTCAGAGCTACACTGTGGTGAACTCTCATCCTTATTTTATTGTAAGAAGAAAGAAATATATCGCATGCAGCATTTGCATACTTATGCACCCTGCCTTAGTGCCTACATGGAAAGGGCCTACAGACTTTAGGTTTAGCCATAATTTACTTATAATCTGTTCTCACAGGGAGGAAAAATGATTAGTTAACTACCAGGAAGTCCAGGCTGCAAAAATCCTTAAAATAGCAACCTCGCTTATTCTTTCAGATTTTAAAAATGAATGAATGAAGAAAAACTTGGAGGCAGAGATTGTCTCATATTTAGTTTTTGTATTTTAAGTGTCTTAACAGAGAGAAAGTATCCAGCAAATATGAGATTTAGTTTTCTCTGTATGAATCTAAGGTTGACGTTTACCATCTCTTAATTCTAAATGTCCCTTTTCTTTCTAGGTTTTCCTGACTGTGAAAACTTTGTACCTACCAAGTGTAATGGTTTTATAACAGATAGCAGTCCTCTCTTTGGACTTGACTGTGAAATGGTAAGTACTTCCTTTTGATTTTTATCAGCTGGAGCGTTGCAAACTGGGTTCTTGTGAAGGGTGATTTCTTGAATCTAATGCACCAGTGAACCAATACATTCAGTTTAAGTAGCAAAAAATAGGCTCTTTTACTCACATTTTATTGTAGAAAACTTGAACTGATATTGCAGAATGAAGAATAAACAACGCATACATTTTCTATCTCGTTGCTATGTTTAATCAAGTTTTTGCACATTACTAGGAGTTTACTCCATCTGTCTTTAGAACAAGTATTTTGTTGTTATTGTGGTTGTTGTTGCTGTGAAGACTTTGCCTTAATTACTGTTGGTTTGGCTTAGTTTTACACATCGAAGACAAGGAGTAGGATTTCCCTGCTTAAATACCCCTTGTGTTTTACTTTGTCTAAATTTAGTAAATCTTCTTTCAAAGACAGTGGATTCTTTCTTAGTACTTGGAAAACAGTTTCTCAGTTCTTACTAGAGTGACTGAAAGCTAGAGTTTTAGAGTCTGACACATCAGGGTGTGTGTATCCTTGCCTGCATATTAATAGCTACATTACCTTAGACAGATGATTCCCTAACCTCTCACCCCCAGCTCATCCTGCTCTGAAGTGGGGCTAATAGTAAATGCTACCTCATAAAGTTATTATGAGATGTTATTCATGAAATCTTTAGTGTAGCACTTTCAAGTGCAACATTCAGGAGCCTGCCCAGCTTTAGTTTCATTCATACTAGATCCTCCAGAAAGCAGAAGTCTCTGCTACTCCTGCAGGGACCCCTATAGATTAGGGTAGGTGGCAGCTGACATAGTGTGAATAATGAGAGAAACTAGCTTCCACAGTTTAGCAGCCTGACTGTGTCTGGTCTTTTAGTGCCTCACATCCAAGGGGAGAGAACTAACACGCATCTCAGTGGTGGCTGAAGGAGGCTGCTGTGTTATGGATGAACTGGTTAAACCTGACAACAAGATACTGGACTATCTCACCAGGTATTTTTCACCTCGTTGCCAGCTCTTTGTAGAACTACCAGACTAGAGTGGAATAAGACATACAGTAATGGCCTACAATGTCTGTTCAGTTAGGCTTTATTAATTATACATTATCAAAGAAAAGATTGGGCATCAAGTTTATATATTTGAATACTGAAATTAAACAATGTCACTGTATAATTGCCCTTCTTGTCCTTAATCTTCTGTGACCTTAAGTCAATAGAATATTTTCTTCTTTCTTCTAGAATGTCCTCATTGTAATTATTATCGAGTAATCGCCAGATAGTTAGAATTTTGCTTTCTGATAAAAGCTCATCTGAAAATCTGCAAATTATAATTGGGTAGTCAAATAACCTTGGAGTATAATCTGCCTTGACCCACAAAGCCAAAAGAAGACTAATTGTTCTGTAACAAATTTGAAGCTAAAATGTTGATGTATTTTTCCAAATATAATTTCAGAATGAACAAACAATAACTAGGTTAAGAACAAGCCAATAAAAACATTATCAATTTCGGGACTAGCAGATGGCATAATGACTACGTCACTGGACTCCCATGTAGTCCACCGCAGTTCGAGTCCTGTAACCGGTGGCTTAAATTTACACCAGGCACGTGTGTGTGCGTGCCCAAGATCCCGAAAGGAGAATAGAGGAGAAGGAATTGCAGTGTGGCCATCCCCCCGCCCGCCGGGGGGTGCGATTTCTCACTTTCTGTTTCTCTCTTTCTGATTTTCTGGCAAGCACATGTGCCCTATAGCAAAACTCTCTCAAAAAACAAACAAATTACTGTTTTCAGCCATTAAAATGGCACCTACAGATTTATGCTTGCTTTGGCACAGAGAGGCCATGATAATGATAAAAACTATCCTATTAGAGGACTTGATGATTAGACATTGTTTTTAAGGAATACATGTGTAGCACAGATGTATGTATAAGCATGTTTGTCACAGTATTGCAAAAATATGAGAGTAAGGAGATTAGTTAAAATATATCCATATAATGGAATATTCTAACCATTTAAAAGGATGTGCCAAAGTAGATTTATTCATGTGAAAACTTGTTCATGATATATTACAAATGATAAAATCAAATTATGAAATAGCATGTGGATTTTTTAAAAAAGATATGTATATGAAAATATATGTATCAAAAATATATAAGGATATTTACTAAAAAGTAAAGTGATCTCCGGGTAGTAGTATCATGGCTAATTTTTAATTTGCTATTTGTATTTTTAACCTTATTGACACTGAGCATATACTAAGTATAATTTTTTAAAATATTCTTTTTGACATGACTTCCTAAGGAGAAAAACTCGTTAATATCCTGGCTCGTCCATTTCTCTCTCTATTTTTCCTTAAGGTTTTTGCCATAGGGAACGTAGACTTGCCGGAGAGAGACAGAGACAGAAATTGAGAAATCACCCCACCACCACCACCACCCAGGAGGAATGGCCATGCTGTAGTCCCTTCTCTGTTATTCTCCTGGGATTTTAAGCATGTACACACACATACTTGGAGCAATATTTAAGCTGCCGTGTCTGGGCTCAAACCATGGTCAGCCATGTGAGAATCTAACACTTTAACCACCATGCCAACTGCTGGACCATCCATTTCTGTTTTTATTGAAAGCTTTTCAGGAATTACAAAGAAGATTCTTAACCCAGTGACGACCAAACTGAAAGATGTCCAAAGGCGGTTAAAAGCATTGCTTCCTCCTGATGCTGTGTTAGTAGGCCACTCCTTAGACTTGGATCTGAGAGCACTGAAAGTGAGTATCTGAATTAAGTCTTAGTTTTTCTCATATAAATGCCTGTTCCTTTATTCCAGAATCTAAAGTCTTGGGCCTTTCTACTCCCCCTCAACCCCTGTCCTCATGTTTTTTTCCTTTAGCATAAGATGCTACTCATTCTATTCTCTTTCTTCTTCAGATGATACATCCATTTGTTATTGATACATCATTGCTTTATGTCAGAGAGCAGGGCAGAAGATTTAAGCTAAAGTTCTTAGCCAAAGCTATTTTGGGGTACGTTTGTTTGCATATTATAATATTGTCATGACAAATTGCACATAAATTAGCATATAGTACCTAATTTAATGCATGTTGGAAAATCCAGAATCTCTGCTCTCCCTGAATTTGTAAACATGACTCCTTCCATTTCTTATGAAATAAAAGACTGTGACAATAAAAGGATTTTTATTCACAGCTGAGGCTTGATGGATGGGAAGAAGGGAAAAGTTAACCAAAATTTCAAAACATAGTATACTCTAATTAAATGTAATCTATTGTGTAGAAACACATGTGTAAAAACACATGTGTTATGACATGACTTAACATAGCAAAAAAAACTATATATATATATATATATATATATAGAGAGAGAGAGAGAGAGAGAGAGATGGATTAAATAAATGATAATTATCTGTGTCATTGAATATTTTCTTCAAGAGATTGTGGTACAGTAGCCAGGATATGGAATCAACCTAAGTATCCATCAGTAGACAAGTGGATTTTAAATGTGGTTATATATGGTATACTATTCGGACATTAAAAAGGATGAAATCCTGTCATTTAAGGTAAAATGGATGATCCTGGAGGGAAATAAGCTAGGCACAGAAAGAGAAATACTACATGTTCTCTTAAATGTGAAAAGTGGGGGGAAAAAAATCAATCTCACAAAAGTAGAGAAATGAAGAGGCTGGGAAGGATAATAAAGGGTTGTTGATTAATGGAAACAAGAGCTGTAGATAGGCAAGACTAACAAAATATAAGAGATAAATATAGTTAATAACAACCTATTATATATTTTAGAATACTGACAAAGGACTTTGAATGTTCCCAACATAAAATAATGACAGTTGAGATGATGGGTATATTAGTTACCCTGATTTAGCCATTGTATATTGTATTCATATACTGAAAAATCACATTTTATCCCCACAAATGTGTACAATTATTATATGCCAATCAAGATAATAAAGCAACTTAAATATATATGTAAAAAGGATGTGATGGATCTATATGTGCTAATAGGGAAACCTCTCTAAAATACTACTGAGAATAAGATGATCTATATATGCTTAGGTACTGATATCATATTGATTAGATTTAGATATATCTGTAGACATAAAATTATGGATGTTTTTTAAAAGTTTTAAAAATATAAACAATAATGGATTTAAGTACATATAGTACTTGAATACAAATAGAACATTCCTAGGAGATGACTTTAAACGGTGGTTACATCTCAGAAATGAAATAAGGGCCCAGCTGGGGAGTGGGCCAGAGACTTTTGGTTAGTTAGCCTTTTGTCCAGATATGTTCACTGTGGACACGGCCCTTTGTTCCCAGGACTTCTCTAAGGGACTGGCAATTTAGCAGGCATAAAGGTATCTTGATTAATGTGATGTAAATCTTATTACCAAAATGCTGAAATTGTATGTATTAGAACATGTAAGGCAATTGAAAGTTGAAATAGCCTACTAAAATGCTCCTGAGTATGTCAATTTTTTCTTGACTTTCCAGGAAGGATATACAATGTCCTGACAGGGTTGGTCATGATGCCATAGAAGATGCTAGAATAACCCTTGAATTGGCTCAGTATTTCCTTAAACATGGCCCAAAGAAGGTTAGTGTCTGTAACCAGTGTGTTTGTCTTTCTTAAAATTACGGACTTAGATCAGACAGTTACAGACCATCATCTCCTGTTACCTTTCTTTACAAAAATGGGAGTGTGATTAAATTGAGCATGTGTTTGGAATTAAGACTGATATCACCAGTATAATGTAATGATTAGGTATGTAATGATGAGGAATTTGAACTTATCTTTTTTTTAGAGATTTTTGTTATAGAGCACGTGCACTCGCCAGAGAGACAGCAAGTGAGAAATCACACACACACCGCCCAGGGGGATGGCCATGCTGCAATCCCTTCTCTGTTTTCTCAGGATTTTGGACATGCACAAACACGTACCTGGTATGAGTTTCAAGCCCCGGATCTAGGACTCAAATCACGGTCCACTGCACGGGAGTCTAGTGCCTTAACCACTACGTCACCTGCTGATCTCAGAACTTATCTGTTTTAAAATATAGGCTCTCCTGTGTTTAGTTACATAATCTAGGACAATTTGTCTGAACAACTTCAGTTTCTAGATCTGTAAAATGATAATATCTCTGAGATACTTGGTGAGAGTAAATGAGATCCTATGTGTAAAGCTCTTTTTTTTTTTTGGAGAGGTTTTTGCTATACGGTGTGTGTGCTCGTCAAACAGAGAGAGACAGAGAGAGAGAAAGTGAGAAATTACCCCCCAGGGTGGATGTCCACACCGCAGTCCCTTCTCTTGCGTTCTCCTCTTGGGATTTTGGGCGCACACGCGCCTTGCGTAAGTTTTAAGCCACTGGGTCCGGGACGCAAACCTTGGTCAACTACGTAGGAGTCCAGCAACATAGCCATTATGCTAACTGCTGGTCCCTATGTGTAAAGCTCTTAGCACAGCACTTAGAATATATTAAACACTTCATTGGTGGGGGTAATCATTGTGGCTGATGTTAATAAGTAATAATTATAAAAAACATCTACATAGATTTCTGCTCTCTTGGAAAAAAGGGAAGAATACCATTGTTGGTTTTTTTTGGAGAGGTTTTTGCTATAAGGCACGTGTGCTCGCCCAAAAGATAGAGAGAAACAGAAAATAAGAAATCACCCCCGAAGGGGGTTGGCCATGCCGCAATCCCTTCTCCTCCTTTCTCCTCTCAGGATCTTGGATACACACAAACATGCGCCTGGCGTAAGTTTAAGCCACCAGGTCCAAGACTTGAACCATGGTCGACTACATGGGAGTCCATCCTGACAGGATGGAGAATTGGAGGAAAAAGATTGCAGGGCCCTATTGGTGGGGGCTTTTTCTCTTTCTGTCTCTCTTTTCCTCTCTTCTCCCATGTACATGCACACTTTGGCATGAAAATATTTTTAAAAAAGAAAGAAACAGATAAATGGGAATTCTGTGTACTGTCTTCATAATTTTTGTTGTTGCCGTTACTTTAAAACAATTCTAAATACATTTGTTTAAAAAATTTGTATTTCAGGACCAGCAGGTGGCCCTGAAAAGACTTTAAAAACTGGGTAAATCAGTAAATGGGAATTCTCTATACTATCTTCATAATTTTTTTGTTGTTACTCTAAAACAATTCTAAATATATTTATTTTAAAAATTTGTATCTTGGGGTTAGCAGGTAGCATGGTGGTTAAGGCATTGGAGTCTCACATGACCCACTACTGTTTGAGTCCCAGTCCCACACCTTGAATAATTACACTGGAAGCCTGTATGCCACGTGTCCAAAATCTGAAGAGGAGAATACAGAAGAAGGGCTTGCAGCATGGCCATCCCCCTGGGGGATGATTTCTCACTTCCCCTCTCTCTGTCTGTATCTCTCTTGAGTGAGTGCACATGCCCTGTGGGCAAAAACCTTTGGAAAAAAAATTAAAGAATGGTCTCTCACTCTGCATCATAGCTGCCAAATGGATTGCTGCATTATGGAGGAAGAAACAGCAACTAGAATAGACTGTACATGGTTTTGTATTAAACTAATAAGTCTGGTCTTGATGTTAGTATAAAAGCCATGTTTTTATCATTTCCAAAAATCGCATGTTTGCAGAGAATTAAATTTTAAGTGACTAACGGCGGAATGAGTGATGAGCCAAAATTGCCATCGTTTTTCACTTAGTCCTACTTGGCTCTTTCCCATCTTCATGTAACAACATCAGTAGCTGGTAACAGATTGCCATTCTTGGATAAGGAGCAGAAACCATCTGGTAGCTATCGAAGCCAGCCCAGGACTGTGGTAATGGCAAAGTCACTGAAGAAGCAGAGAACTCCACTTGAGGGGGTTTTGTTTTTCATCTTTTGCATGTCTTAACCTCAGATGCTTTGCAAGACATTAGATGATTTTTACCACTTTTTTCCTTCAAGATTGCAGAACTAAATCTGGAGGTGCTAGCTAGTCGCCAAGAACTGCAACCAATAGGCCCAGAGCCAAGAAATACAACAGAAGTAGTTCAGCACCCAAACACAAGGTAATAGTCCCAGTTCTAAATAAGAGCAAAGGCAAATGCAGTATCTGGTTTCTTATTTAACAGAACCTGGTAACGTTTCCCCTCTTTTGAGTCTATTCAAAAATGTTTTATCAGAAATGAGAGCAATGTTCATCACAAAAACCATGGGGGGAAAAGATCACCTTCTGCCTGAAGTAATACCTGATTTCTAATTTTCTGAATCCTAGTGGCTGTTCTAAAATGGCATACTTGAAAATAATAATAGGACCCTGGAATAAATTGAAACATTGAGGGAGATGATTGACTAGTTGGTATTTTAGTTAGAAGAGTCAATCTACAGTCTTGATACATTGCCCAAATTGGGAAAAACACAAACAAAAAGCAAGCTCAGATGGCGTTTGGCTCCAAACCATAATGAATGACCATAATGAATGTATCATATCCTCAGAATATGACCTAAACTTTGATAAAGGACTTTGGGTATTACCGTCTCCCTTCCTGAGTATAGCGCAACACTGTCCAATACCATTTTGATTTTAATTTTTTTGTTTTAATTTACTATAGAGTATGTGTCCTCGCTAGAGAGAGACACACAGAGCAAAAGAGAGACAGAGAGAGAGAGGAGAAAAGTGAGAAAGCACTCATCAGGGAGAATGGCCATGCCCAATCTCTTCTCCATTCTCTTCTCAGATTTTGAACATGCATGCACATGCTCTTTATGAGTTTTTTGGTTTATTTATTTATTTTTTGGAGAGGTTTTTGCTATAGGGCATGTGCGCTCGCCAGACAGACAGAGAGACAGAAAGCGAGAAATCACCCCCCAAGGGGGATGGCCATGCCACAATCTCTTCTCCATTCTCTTCTCAGGATCTTGGGCACGCACGCACACATGCCTGGCATGAGTTTTTTAAGCCATCGGGTCTGGGGCACGAACCGCAGTCGACTACATGGGAATCCAGCGACATAGCCATTACGCTAACTGCTGGTCCCCCACTTTGTGAGTTATTTAAGCCACTGTGTGTCCAGGACTTAAACTGCATTGTCAGTCATGTGAGATTCAGCCACCTTAACCATTGCCACCGGCTGGTCTCAATTTTAATTAAATAGTTAAATTTAATCTACTTTGAATTCAAATAGATATATGTTGCTATAGTAGCTACTGTATTGGTGAATGCAAGTATAGAGAAATAATTATCCTCTTATATAAAACTATTGTTTTAACCTTATTTCTTCTATTTTTTTTTTTCACAGTGTTTTAGAGTGTTTGAATTTAGTAGGTCAGAAGCTCCTTTTCTTGGCTCGGGAGACAGATTCTAGTGAACTTTCTTCTTCCAAGAACTGTCAAACTATTAAGTGCCTTTCAAATAAAGAGGTGAGTGATCTCTTGTACCTTTGCAGGTTACATTAAAAGCAGAGGGGAATATAGCCCCTTGTAGCCCATGCAAGTGTGAAGCTTTGTTTAAATCAGTAACTGGCTACAATTAGTAAGTCTGGCTTCTGTCTTACATACTGTATGGAGCACTTTAAGTTCCAGCTACCCCACAGGAGCAGAACTATCAGCTGCCAGTGTCTGCTTCCAGAGCCCAGCAGGCCTACGGCTTTGTCCTTGCACACATCACTTTGAATTTCTGTTGTTCCTGGTTCAAAGAAATATTATCTTGGTTTTGAACCTGCCTCTATCTTTTTGTTTTGTTTTTTCATTTTTATCAGTTATTGCTGTATGTATAAAAGCACAGGGGATATGCATCAAAATATGAACTTACTGTGTCCAGAAGATCTGTATTTTTTTAAGTTTATTTCTTTCATGAAAGAAAGAAATAGAGACAGTCGCCCCTCACAGAGTTGTACCATACTGCGACACACTTCACCCCTGCAGTCTTCCAGCCACCAAGGAACATGCGTTCAATCCAGGATCCAAACCTTCCAAAAGCTCCATTATCACTACTACCTACACCACTGTGTCTGGGTCTTGTATTCTTTTTGAATTTTTGTTTTCGTTTTGCCATAGAGCTTGTGAACTTGCCCAAGAAAGACAGAGAGAGAGGAGGCAAAGCACCCCCCAGTGAGGTGTATTTTCAAGCCACCTGGGGCAGAGTTCAAACCACAGTTGGCCATGTAGTATCTGGCTCCCTTTAATCACTAGGCCCTAGGGCTGTCCCATAGGGTTCTTACATCCTTTTCATTTCTGTGGCATTGGTTACAATGTCCCAGTTTTCATTTCTGATTTGTTATTTGTATCTTCTCTCTTTTTCTTAATCTAGCTAAAGTTTTGTCAATTTTGCCGATCTTTTCAAAAAGCCAAGTCAGTTTTGTTCATTTTTTGTTGTTTTTCTATGCCTTATTTTGTTTATCTCTGCTCTTCCTTCTGCTTTGGGTCTAATTTGCTGTTTTGTTTGATTGTTGTAGTTTCTTTATATTTAAATTAGATTGTGAATTTGAAATTTCTTCTACATAAATGTTTACAGTTATAAATATCCCTGTTAGCACGGCAAAAGTTTTGATATCTTGGTTTTGTTTGTTTGATTTTCATTTGTCTCAAGGTAGTTTCTCACTTCTCTTGTAACTTCTTTGACCCACTTGTTAAAAAGATGTTATTTAATTTATACATATTTGTGGACTTTTTAAAGTTTACTTGATTTCTACTTTTATCACATTGTTATCAGAAAAGACTATAATTTCAGTTATTTTAAATTTGTTGAGACTTGTTTTGTGGTCTAATATGTAGCCTATCTTGGAGAATATTTCATGTGCATTTGAGAAGAATGTCTATTTTGGTTTTTTGTTGGTATATTCTCTATGCAAATTTCTCATCATTCAGACCATCTTTTTTGTTTGTTTGTTTGTTTGTTTGGAAAGGGTTTTGCTATAGGGCGCATGCACTTGCCAGAAAGACAGAGACAGAGAGACAGAAAGCGAGAAATCACTCCCTGGGGGGTAGGGCCACGCCGCAATCCCTTCTCCTCCATTCTCCTCTTGGGATCTTGGGCACACATGCACACACAGGCACACATGCACACGCAGGCACGCACGCACACGCACCCAGCATGAGTTTAAGACACCAGGTCCGGGACTCGAACCACGGTCGACTACATGGGAGTCCAGCAACACAGCCATTATGCTAACTTCTGGTCCCACTCAGACCATCTTCTCAGGGATAATCTTTTTACTTGTAGTTTTAGTCATAGGATAGGCAATAAAAATTTTTGGAGCGAGCACATTTTTAAGTATCTAACTCAGTGCCTGTGAGTGAGGGCCTGAGGCTTCCTAGTCCTCTATCTTGCCAACATTTCTTTTTCTTCTTTTTTAAAAATGCCTTTCTTTTGAGAATGATGTCATGGTATTAGGGGAAGAGAGCAATTTATAGCATTGGGAGAGGTTGCATGTGTCTTCTCTTTCTGCATGATTCTTAATTTGCCTGCTTCTTTTACTTCTTTTTCTGCAGTGTCTCCAAGGGGTATCACCTCTTCTATTTATCTGATCTGATTCTTCCCCAGAACCATTGTTTCTCTGAAGCTGCCATGTCTTCTCCCTGTACTCAAGTATTATGAAATATCAAAGTTGTGACCTGTGTTCATTATTTGGCATTGAGTTGGGCTTTTTGTTTCTGGGAATGACTGTTTCTGCTTCATCTAATTCTTCATGCCCCTTAATTTTTTTTTTTCCTTCATTGAATCTCTTAAGCTTCTTTTCCCTTGCTTTCTCTACTCTTGGGCTTGCAGCAGTGTGAAACAATGGGATCTCTGTTGGAATTTAACTTATTTACTGATAGGTAATTTGAAAATTGTTCAATAGCTCCTTTCTCTTAGTAATGCTAGAAGTGTGGATTATATGTGGTTCTATTCATTCTCCTTATTGATTCTCTGTTTTTGTTTTTGTTTTTCCTGGGAGGTAATAGTTTTTCTGGTTGTGTGGTATCACCGTTTTCTTCCAGGCCTGGAAATCAACTCCATATTACTTTTTAATATGGATAGACAACCATTGTTTATATTCCGTGGCTCACCTTCCAGAAGCACAGCATTATGCTACATTCCTACCTCATGTAGGCTGTGCTCTTCTCTGCAGGTTTTGGAGCAGGCCAGAGTGGAAATCCCCCTGTTTCCCTTTAGCATCGTGCAGTTCTCTTTTGAGCCCTTTTCACCCATCCTTACTGAGGAGATGAACAAAAGGGTAAGTGAATGGATTTGGTAGGATGATTTATTTATTGACTTATTGTAACCTCTCATCATTAAGGTGCATGTTTTATTAAAGCATTGCTGCATATTTCTCCAAATTTTTTGTATATGTAGTTAACGTTAAAAAAAGACCTACATTTTTATAGAAACAAGAATCAGACTATGCATACCGTTGCAACTTTATCATGTAACAGTATATCCTGTACATCTCTCTACGTCACTGCATATTTTATTTCCCTCATTTTTAATGGCTGCATAGTATTTCACTGTATGGTATACCTATTAATAGTATTTGTGCTTCATTAATTGTTTCCATTTAAAATAATGCTGCAGTGAACATCCTGTATACAAGTCCTGGACATTGGCAAGTACATCGAGAAATTCCTTGAAGTGGAATAATCTCATGTTTTGACTCATGATTTCAAGTCTCTTTCCATATCTACCCCCTTACTATATTCTGTTGTTTTTCCTACAGATGAGAATCAAGTGGGCAGAGATGTCTACTGTCTATGCTGGGCCATTTAGCAAAAATTGCGACCTCAGGGCTCTGAAGAGACTATTTAAGAGCTTTGGCCCAGTCCGGTCATTGACTCTTGTTCTTGAGACTCATCAGGTAAGAGAGATCATAAAACTGAAATTTTTAACTTCTATATTAGTGTTAGGAATTTAGACAACTTTTGAAGCCATGTAGATTACAAATATTAGTGGAGTGAGCTTGATTGTCACCAGCTGGAGTATGAAATATACCCCATCTGACAAGAGCAGTTATTGGTTGATCCACAAGAATATATACCCAGTATTGCCAGGTGTTTTGATTTTGCTTTTTGAGAATCAAGAAATCTGTGTTTTTGTATATTAGCTCCAATTTTCTTAAATGTGTAGGTCAAACAAAAAATATGTCTGCTGGATGAATGTAGCCTATGGGCCTTCTTGTTTGTTTTGTAGCCTTGGCCCTTTCCAATCCCTTCTCTAGTAATTTGAGCTAGAAAGGTGAAGAAATGTGTTTTCCCTGAATCTTTTATTAATACCTTTCCTAAAAGACAATAATAAAAGGAAATCTTGATCTTTCTGCAGCCTCATCTCTGTATTCAGTATGAAGTCTTGGAAGCTGCCCAGCTAGCCATAGAGACGTTAGATGGCATTCTGGTAGAAGGTTCCTACATTAAGGTACAGTGTCCAGAGAAAGCCCAAAGCAGCCCGTTACTCAGATCGGGCCTAACACAGCTTACATTTACGGTACCCCAAGACATACAGGAAAGTCCCTGGAGAGAACCAGGCACAAGACTTTGTCTTATAGAAAGTTTTAAGCCGGGGCCAGCAGGTGGCATGGTGGTTAAAGGCACTGGATTCCCACATGGCCAATCATGGTTCAAGTCCTGGACCTGGTGGCTTCCTTTCTCACTTTCTCTCTCTCTCTCTCTCACTCTCTCTCACGTATCAAATTTGAAAATAATAATAGTAAAGTTAAAATAATTCTTTAAAAAAGGAAAAAAGAAAGAAAGAAAGTCTTCAGCCAAGTCTAGCTTCTCTTAGCAGTGATCTAATACATAACAGCTTTCATTTTTGTCAAAAGCAGCCTGGGCTAGATCAGGGTCTTCCTTGTACTTTTTATCACTACCAAGACCCCAGAGGTTCACATTGGACGGTTCGTTTTGGTTGTCTTTTTCTTCAACTTTCAGGGAGATCAAATAGTGGCTCTTTGAAGTTTTTTGGGGGGTGTGTAAGTAAATAGAATTTTATTGGAGGGAGATGCAGGGAACTCAAGAAAATGTATTTACACAAAATATAAACATTCTGGGTGCGTGTGTATGATGCCCCAAATCCCAACAGAATTGAGAAAATGCAGGGGAAAGAATTGTGGCATGACCATACCTCATGGTGAGGGGCACTTTCTCTGTCTCTCTCTCTGTCTCTCTCTGGCTAGCACACATGCCCTTAGCAATTTAGTGTGTGTATGTGTGTGTTTATGTATTTATCTTAAGTCTCTTTCATAGTTCTATGAGGCACTTATCCTTTGCCTCCTTTTATACATAAGGGAAAAAATGCAAAATTAAGCTACTTGCTAATATACAGTTAGCCTGATGGTTAAAATGGTTACTTTCCACCACTAACATCATCTTTCCTTGTTAGGTGCAGAGGCCTGTGACAGAGCTAACCCTTGACTGTGACACCCTAGTCAATGAGCTGGAACAAGACTCTGAGAACCGAGGTACTATTTACCTGTCTGGAGTGAGTGAAACCTTCAAAGAACACTTGTTGCAACAGTCAAACCTGTTCCTTGGACTGGAAGCTGTGATCTTGCCTAAAGATCTTAAAAGTGGAAAGCAAAAAAAATACTGTTTCCTGAGTAAGTCTATGCCATTGAATGCAGCCTTGGGGAAGGAAATGAGGGATGGCGAGAAGAAGAGGTCAGAGAAGGGAAAGGTCACCAAATAAGCCTTCCTGGACTGGACTAGGGTAGCAGCTCCTGATCTGTCCTTCTCTGCCCCAGATCAGGCTCTGGCTCGGATGATGATCAGCCTACTTGGCTCTTAATAATAGAAGGTGGGTTGTTTGCACTTTCAGAATTCAAAAGTATTGGCAGTGCCCAGAGGGCCCTCGATATTCTCAGAAGCAAAGACTGGAAGCTAAAAGGCAGGCATGCCTTAACCCCCAGGCACCTCCATGCATGGCTCAGAGGCATACCATCTGAATCCCAAAGGCCCCCAGGGCTTCGGGTCCTACCTCCCCCCTCAGAGCAGCAGGCCTTGCAGGTGAGTGAATGTATTCTGGAGGCAGATGGGAAGGGTCAACTCTGGTTTTGCTGGCTCTCTTCTGTTTCTAGAAATTAGTCAGCTGCTCTGTTCCTAGCTTTTTCTAGCCTTGGCCACATCTCTTTTTCTCTCAGCTCTTCATACTTTTGCTCTCTCTTTACCTGCTCAATTTAGGTTTCTAGTCTTCTAGGTGACTTTCCAAGGGACTTTGAGGAACTAAGGCAAGAAGCCGAAGAGCTGAACAGGTCTTTACTGATCTAGTCTAGGGTTTTCCAAAGTATGGCACACACAAAATACAAATTCTGGTTGTCATAGATTTTTTTGTGTGTGTGTTCACGTTTATAACACAGACTTGTCTTTCTAGTCCTTATCCAAGAATAACGACATTTTTTGTTTTGTTTTTGCTTCATGCATTTATTTATTTATTTATTTTTTCTTTTTTGCTCTAAAAGGTGCATGTACTCACCGACAAGAGACAGAGAGTAAGAGAGAGTGAATGTGGGACCAGCAGATGATGTAATGATTATGTCGCTGGACTCCCACGTAGTCAATCACAGTTCGAGTCTTGGACCTGGCAGCTTAAAACTCATGTCAGGTGCATGTACACGCATGCCCAAGAGGAGAATGGAGGAGAAGGGATTGTGGTGTGGCCACTATCCCCTTACCTGCCCCCTCCCCCCAGGGGGTGATTTCTTGCTTTCTGTCTCTCTGGCAAGTGCATGTGCCCTATAGCAAAAATCTTCTCAAAAAAAAGAGAGAGAGAGAGGGAGAGTGAGAAATCAGTCCCCAGAGAGGATGGCTACACTACAGTTTCTTCCTTCTCTAGTCTCCTCTTGGGATTTTGGTCACTCGTCCACCTGGCATGATTTTCAAGCCACAAGGTCTGGGACTCGAACCATGGAGTTGGCCATGTGGAATTCAGCTACCTTAAGCTCCACACTACCTGCTGACCCATAACAACTACATTGAACCACAGAGAGTTATAACTTAAGACAAGGCTAAGCAAGAAATGACTCACTTTAAAGAAAAGTACTTAAGTATGGGAGCAGAGATAGAAAGTAAATGGCTGAAGCCTATCCTAGTCCCACATTTAGCAGAGGAAAAATGGAGCTAGAACTAGACTTGTTCAGATGACAGAGTACTTAATGGTAGAGGCTGGAGTAGAGCCCTTGTCAGAGATTTGGGTCTTCTAACTTGGGGCTCTGGAAGATGCACCTGGAAGAAAAGGTAACAGCCATCCTCCCCAAGGCAGTCCTAAACCAACATAGAGACAAGGAGGCTGGGTTGACAGGGAACCCTGCAGTGTGAGCTCCAGCTTCAGACAGGGGTTTTGTCCAGAATCTCTACTGGTATCTCATCGCCTGAGAGCCTGAAGAAGAGTGATACAACTTCTCCAGAGTGTGTTCTGGCCGAGTGTTGACTCATGGCTTTGATCTCAGACTCTTAAGGTGGACCACCCAAAGATAGCAGCCTGGCGCTGGGGTCGGAAGATTGGGAAACTCTACCACAGTCTGTGTCCAGGCACCCTCTGCCTTATCCTGCTGCCAGGAACCAAGAGGTAAGGATGACTCTAGCCCCTGGGCATTAGCTGTTTTTGGAGAAGGGGCTTTTGCTGATGTCCAGGCATGTAAAGAAGACTTACAGGAATATCTTTTCATTCTCACAGTTCTAAGAGATAGGATTACATATTCCTATTTCATATTTATATGCTCTTACATAATTTACATTTATATGCTCTTATATGCTCAATATATACTTCTTGGCCCCTCAAGGAGACAACTCATCCCAGTTTAAAATCAGCTATTTTAGGAACTGTAGCCTCCCTAAGATGTGAAATAGCTCCCTAACCCCATTTGAGTAAAATGATCAAGAAGTCCTAGGATAACACCTAGACTTAGATGTGACCAGAGCCTACCTTCTCCATATGCAATATGTTCCTGACTTCCTCGCCCTTTCTGTTTACTGTTGTTTAGTTTTAGTTATTTCTCTTTTGTGAGAGTGTCAGGGAAGGAAGAAGGAGCACGCACTCCAACAGGGTCTCCGTGCTGTGGTCCACCCCTTCTCTCAGCAGGCCTGGGTCACAGTGCATATGCCTCGCTTGCTCAGGAAGGTCATGTGACACAAACCAGGACTTGTTCCACATGAGTCCAGTTGCATTTGTATTACCACCATGCCGCCACCCAGCCCCCCCACCTGAGATAACAGGGCTCGTTTTGCTGATTCTAAGCCTGAGGATCACTGGAGCAGGACTCCGGGTCCAGCTCCCACTCAGCTCTGCTCATTTCCTCCGACAAATGGCCACGTCATCTTCTCCCTCTAGGTCTCAATTTCCCATCAGTAAAATGAGGAATTTAGAGCAAATCAGTGATTTCCAGACTCTTTTAACTGTAAACCCTTTTTTTAAAGGAAAACTGATATTAATCCTCAGACATACAGACAGGCAGTTTTGGAATGAGTAGGTAGATGAATGAATGAGTATTTATATTGGGGGAGAAAAGGACAGTGACTATTCTCAGCAATTTGAAAACCATTAGAGTGTGTTTCTTCTAAAAGATCCTTATGATGCTGACAAGAGATGGAAATGCATGGATACCTTAAGCCTCAAAGCCTAGATCAGAAATTCATTTCCTGCCCCAGAGTCATTGTAACATGCATCTGAGGGCCACTAGTGAGATCTTCTTACCTGTCTTCCAACTTGAAAGAACTGCTGTCTCTCTAGATGCTGGAGTAGAGTCCTTGTCAGAGATTTGGGTCTTCTAGCAATAACAACCATTAGGTATTTACATTGGAAAGAAAACCTCTTAGACTGACATATTTTAAACAGGCTTATATAAGTAGGCTAATACCAAGTGACTAAAAAGGTGGCCGCAAGTTGCCAGTAAAACTTTTTGTTCAGAGCACAGATTCTAGAGACAGACAAACCTTGCCCTTAGATATCTAGCACCTTATAGCCAGTGTATGGAGGCAGAGGTAGAACAAGGGGCTGGGTCTTCATGTTTCCAAGTAAAATACTTTGATTGCAATCCCTCATCATGTAGGTAAGTTTAAGTCAACAGTGGCCCAAAGCATTCTTCCAAAAGTGACCTGGCTATTTCACAAAGAGTGAAGGCTTGGAGAGGGAGTGTTGAGATCAAGGAACAAAAAGTTCTTACTGAGGCAGATATCGTAAGATAAGTTTGACAAGTCAAGAGAATAAAAACCGTCTTGGGAGCCAGGGGTTGATTCAGTGGTAACTATGCAGTTAGACCCCCACAGGGAAGATTCTGAGTTTTCATCCTGGGACCTCCCTGTGCACATTTGATGTGTGCAGATACCTGTGATCGGGCCAGCTAAGACTGGGTGTAGTTTGTGGCATGAAAATCCTGTTGGGGTTTCTCCCCCTCCCTCTCCCCTTGGAATAAATAAACTTAAAAAACAAACAAAAAACCCTAGAAGCAGTAAATCATGCAATGAGGAAAGCCGAATTCCTTTCTTTTAAAAGTCACTCTTGGATTTCTACTCTTGATTTCTGTAGCCATGCTGATCAGACACAGCAGCAGTAGGATGTTTCTCCAGACTGTAAGCTTGCCTGTGACCCTAGGACACTGAACAACAGTCTCCTTGAGGCCAGCAAATGCCCTTTTGAAACCAAGAAGCTTAGGAAAAAGGAGCAGTAAAGACCATAGGTTTCCTTGGGCTGGGGGCCTAAACAATAATAAGCAAGCACCAGGTACTCTGCTAAATACATTTATCTCCATCTTTGATTGAGGTTGTTGGAATCCCTATTTAACAAGTAGAGAAAATCTCTGATTAAGCAACTTGCCTGAGGTCACATAACTAGTAAATATAAGGTCAGGATCTCAACCCTAATGGTCTATCTTAGTGGTCCCAACCTTGTGGCACCAGGGACCAGTTTTGTGGAAGTCAGTTTTTCCATGGATGTGAGAGTTGGGGGTATGGAATGGGGAGGTGATTTTGGAATGATCAAGTGCATTACATTCATTATGCACTTTTTTTTTTTTTTTTAGAGATTTTTGCTGTAGGGCATGTGTGTTCACTAGAGACAGAGAGAGACAGAGAGCCAGAAATCACTATCACTCCCTCAGTGGGGATGGCCACATGCCACAACCACTTCTCCATTCTCTTCTTGGGATTTTGGACACACACACATATGTGCCTGGCATGAGTTTTAAGCCACTGGGTTTGGGACATGAACCACAGTTGACTATGTGGGAGTCCAGTGATATAACCATTACACCATCTGCTGGTCCCATTGTGCACTTTCTAAATTATTTTAAATTTATTTTCATTATTACATTAATAATATATAATGAAATAATTATAATTACACAACTTACCATAATGCAATATTTGTAGCTGCTCCCCAGTGAATCACTGCCTCAGCTCCACCTCAGACCATAAGGAGTATGTAACCCAGATCCCTCACATGCAGAGTTCACGATAGGGTTCGTGCTCCCATGAGAATCTAATGCTGCAGCTGATCTGACAGGAGGCAGAGCTCAGGTGGTACTGGGAGCAATAGGGAGCAGCTGTAAATACACATGAAGCTTCACTGGTGCCAGCTACTCACCTCCTGCTGTGCAGACTGGTTCCTAACCAGTCCGTGGCCCAGGGGTTGAGAACTAGTTTACTTGACTCCAGAGCAACCTTCCCATCATCAAAGCTCCAGTCTTCCATGCCCAACAGGTTATTGCTTGCTAGTTTAAGTTCAGACATCAGGTATGTTTGTTTTGGCTCCGTGATGGCTGCTTTGCCTAAAAAAGCTTCTCAGCCCCCTACTCTTTCTTTTTTTTTGAGAGGTTTTTGCTATAGGGCGCGTGCGCTCACCAGACAGAGAGAGACAGAAAGCGAGAAATCATCCCCTAGGGGGGATGGTCATGCCGCAATCCCTTCTCCTCCATTCTCCTCTCGGGATCTTGGGCACGCACGCACAGGCGCCCGGCGTGAGTTGTAAGTCACGGGGTCCAGGACGCGAACTGCGGTCGACTACGTGGGAGCCCAGCGACATAGCCATTATGCTAACTGCTGGGTTCCGCAGCCCCTCCTCTTGTCCATCACAATAACTATTCATTACAAGGTGGCAGGAAGCTAGCATGTGTTGGATAATTTTTTTAATTCTACATGTGTTTCCAGGTGTTTTACAGCCTGCAATATTAAAGAAGTTAGTATTTTGTTAAGTTTTTCAAACTGTGCCTGGCACACAGAAGATATTTAAGTAAAATGAACAAAAGACTAGGACTCAACAGCAATTTATACTGATAACAGATTGTCATTATTGAAATTCTGGTCTGTCACTTAACTGTTGTGTGTCTTGAGCAAGTTACACAGTAATGCCTATGGGCCTATTTATTTGAAAAATGGAAATAACAATTGTATCTACACAGTGAGCTGTTGGCCATGTGGGATCCAGCTGCCTTAACCTTCACGCCACCTGCTGACGCACACAGTGAGCTGTTTGGAGGATTAAATGAAACTGGTGCTTAGAACAGTGCCTGGATACTAAGTACTTAGTGTCTATTGGCCGCTTTTGTCTGTAGTCCTTACGAAAGCCCCATGAAATAGTCAGTTAAATGTTTATAGTTTCATAGTTGGAGAAATCAGGCTCAGTTGAGATGCACCTGGTGCCCCTTCAGTGGCAGAGCTAGAATTTGAGTGTAGGCCTTTGGGCCTAGGCAGCGTTCCTTCTACTGAGCCATCTTCAGCAGGCAGCCTTCCGTAAACCTGCCTGTCCCTACCCCATGGCACACAGACACTCGAGAAAACTTACCTCCTCTCCTCTAGTTTATAACCATTTGTTGAACCCTATGAATAAAACCCTATTTTCATTCCTCATTTATTGCAGCACTCATGGATCACTCTCTGGCCTAGGACTGATGGGAATAAAAGGTGAAGAGAGAAGCACCATCCCAAGCATGTGTTTGTGAGTCTGCCCACCAGTTCCTGTATGCCATTTTTTATCCTCAGGGGCAATGGCAGAGAACATGGTTAGGCTGCAACCTCTCTGGAGGCTGCTGGGCTTCTCCATCCAGCAGACAGTTTGTGGAAACTTGGTGTACCAGCCAAAAAGTCTAGTTCATTTATATGACATGTACAAAATTTCAATAAATGACTAAATTTCAAGCATTTCTCATCTTAAGGCAGGATGAGAAGGAAGCCCAGTCTGTTTCTTTGTGTCAGTGGGTTGATATATTCAGGTGCTGTATAGCAGGTGCTCATTCCACGCACATAATGAAACTGGGAGGAGTGACTGTTGTTCTGCAGAGAAAACCCAGCAGTCATGTAATTTGTTAAAGCTGTAAGTTACCTGTGAAACAATTTTCTATAAAGCAAACTGTTTTCTCATTGACACCTGTTATAAAACTGAAGGAAAAAGACAGGCTACACTGGAAATGTGGCACATCGACCAGAGAAGAATAAGACTCAGCTTTTTACCAACCAAGGAATCCCCCCTTCCAATTCCATTTTAGGGATCCATCCTTTCCTCTAGACTGCAGCTGCAGTGTCACCCTTCACCAGTAGGTGCCTTCACCACACCAGCTCCTCTGGTAAAAAGCCAGTGCTCTGCTTTTAACTCTCAAAATGAACATTTCGTGTTGGAAAGGCATGGGGCACAGACAGGCAGTTCCCAAAGTGGTAAAAGATGAACCAATCAGGCATAAAATATGTATCATACCAGAGAACCTTGTAAACTGTTCTGTATCCTGAGACCTTGCAAGTCCACTTCAAGAGTATTATCACAGGGACCAGCAGTTAGCGTAATGACTATGTCACTGAACTCCCATGTAGCCAACCGTGGTTCGAGTCCCAGACCCGGTGGCTTAAACTCACCCCAGGTGCGTGTGCGTGCGGGCCCAAGATCCCGAGAGGAGAATGGAGAGGGGATTGTGGTGTGGCCATCCCCCCTGGGGGTGATTTCTCACTTTCTCTCTCTCTGTCTTTTTGATGAGCGCACACACCCTATACTAGGACTGATGGGAATAAAAGGTGAAGAGAGAAGCACCATCCCAAGCATGTGTTTGTGAGTCTGCCCACCAGTTCCTGTATGCCATTTTTTATCCTCAGGGGCAATGGCAGAGAACATGGTTAGGCTGCAACCTCTCTGGAGGCTGCTGGGCTTCTCCATCCAGCAGACAGTTTGTGGAAACTTGGTGTACCAGCCAAAAAGTCTAGTTCATTTATATGACATGTACAAAATTTCAATAAATGACTAAATTTCAAGCATTTCTCATCTTAAGGCAGGATGAGAAGGAAGCCCAGTCTGTTTCTTTGTGTCAGTGGGTTGATATATTCAGGTGCTGTATAGCAGGTGCTCATTCCACGCACATAATGAAACTGGGAGGAGTGACTGTTGTTCTGCAGAGAAAACCCAGCAGTCATGTAATTTGTTAAAGCTGTAAGTTACCTGTGAAACAATTTTCTATAAAGCAAACTGTTTTCTCATTGACACCTGTTATAAAACTGAAGGAAAAAGACAGGCTACACTGGAAATGTGGCACATCGACCAGAGAAGAATAAGACTCAGCTTTTTACCAACCAAGGAATCCCCCCTTCCAATTCCATTTTAGGGATCCATCCTTTCCTCTAGACTGCAGCTGCAGTGTCACCCTTCACCAGTAGGTGCCTTCACCACACCAGCTCCTCTGGTAAAAAGCCAGTGCTCTGCTTTTAACTCTCAAAATGAACATTTCGTGTTGGAAAGGCATGGGGCACAGACAGGCAGTTCCCAAAGTGGTAAAAGATGAACCAATCAGGCATAAAATATGTATCATACCAGAGAACCTTGTAAACTGTTCTGTATCCTGAGACCTTGCAAGTCCACTTCAAGAGTATTATCACAGGGACCAGCAGTTAGCGTAATGACTATGTCACTGAACTCCCATGTAGCCAACCGTGGTTCGAGTCCCAGACCCGGTGGCTTAAACTCACCCCAGGTGCGTGTGCGTGCGGGCCCAAGATCCCGAGAGGAGAATGGAGAGGGGATTGTGGTGTGGCCATCCCCCCTGGGGGTGATTTCTCACTTTCTCTCTCTCTGTCTTTTTGATGAGCGCACACACCCTATAGCAAAAACCTCTAAAAAAAAAAAAGTATTATCACAGAGTTAACAGCTTAGGTCACATGTATCAAAGGGGATACAACAGGGTCATTACAATGGTATTGTAGGTAGTCATTTTAGTGTGTGTGTGTGTGTGTGTGTGTGTGTGTGTGTGTGTGTGTAGGTAGCTCAACTTCCCATGAAAAGAGATCTATAAGAGCCAGTAGATCTCTGGATCCAAAGTGCCTGGCTTTGAATTCCAGCTTTTTTTTTTAACCTACTAGTCGTATAAACTTGAATATATTACTTAACATTTCTGTGCACAAGATAAATTTTGTATGTAACTCACAGATTATTAAAAAGATAAATGAGATTATCTGTTCACAATACTGTGTATTATTTGTTGTATGAAGGGGCTACAGAATAGTTTGAGTATTTTTGTAGGAAAAAAATATGCAAAATTTGGAACAAAATCTGGAAGGCTGGAAGCCAAAATGTTTAACTGAGTCTCTGGCTAGTAGGATTGACAAATTAGGTTTTACCAATTTCTTTTGGTGTGTAGGCTGATTTAATTTTTTTTAATTCAGCATATGTTGCTTTTATAATTAGAAAAAATTAATTCTACTTAAAATTAACTCTCAAGGTTGGGCATTTGGGGGAGTGTGTAACGCTTTAAGCGTCGCTTCTAAAAGATTGGCCCTATATGGAGCCGGGACCAGAGCTTGATTTGGGACCAGGGCACTGCAGCCAGGAGTGAAGCCCCTTGGTCAGGACTCTCCAGGTGTGCTGCAGACTTGAGCTGCAAAACCCTGAGAACTTGAGACTGACAGTGGTACTGGATTTCTTCCCCACCCAACTGAGCTCCAAAGCTGTGAGAGTGTAGCTGCAGTTTACCTCTCGAGGCTCGTCCTGAGACAAAATAATGATCTGCCTTGGGCATGGGCAAGCCTGGGTTGGAGCTTCAGCTTCCCCCTGAGTAGTCTTGAGCAAGACACTTAATTAACCTCAGGCAAGTCCATTTCCACAGCTGTATAAAATGAGGAAATAACTACTTTTGTGGGTTATTGTGAGAATTCAAAGATCCTGGTTGTACAAAAATGACAGAGTAAGTGGTCTATGAATTATTTTCCCTCTCTGGGCCTTCTTACCTTTAACATGGGGAAGTTAGTACCTACTTCATAGGCTGTTACGAGGATTAAATGATGAAAAGGCCAGAGAGGGCTTTAAGTGCCAATAAATGACATATTATTTGACTAAGGGTCATCTTCAAGGTGCAGGAAGAGCAGACAAGGTCTCCCTGTACCAAGTGCTCCCCTTCCTCCCAAGAAAAGCCACACCCTTTCCTTCTCCTGAATGGGCGGGGCTGGAAGTCTCCCCTGGGCCCCAGCTCCCTAACTCTGCAGAGATGGGCCTGGACCATAGGCCTCTGAGACCTCAGTCTGCACACACTGTTCTTTCGGCTGATGCTCCCACCTTTTGGAAGCCAAAGCTGCCAATTTGGCCTCTTGCAAAACACACATTCCATTCATAAGTGCGTTTGTGCATTTTTCCTCCCACACCCTTCTAGGCAGCCAATGCAAAGCTGCCAAGGCAGCTGCTGGAAAAGCAGCTTCTCATCTTGGGGTGAAAAGCAACTCCAAGGGTTTTTACAGAACTCATGATTTAGACTTTGAGCATGTTACTGCAGTTGTCTGGCATGGTAGAGTTTTCATTTTCTTTTGTCTCCCTTTCTGTAAATAACCTCTTTTTCTCTTCCTCTACTATAAAGGAAACCCTTTAATAGCAGTGTAAGAAGTCCAGAAAACTTCACATCACAATCTAACCCCACCACCTAGTCAATGACTGCCAGTATTTTACGATCTTATCAAAGTTTTTCCATCATTATACAAACCAGTTTTAATAGCTATATAATATCCCAACACTAATGTATACTATAATTTTTAAAACAGTACCTCACATTGACACTGAAGTTGTTCCCAATATCCATCCTTGGCAGGTAGTTCTTTAGGAAGTTTCTAAGTGAAGTTACTGGGTTAAATAAGTGTGAATGGGACCAGCAGATGGCATGATGGCTATGTTGCTGGACTTCCATGTAGACGACTGCGGTTCAAGTCCCAGACCCGATGGCATGTGTGCATGCGTGCCCAAGATCCTGAGAGGAGGATGGAGGAGAAGAGATTGCAGCGTGGCCATCCCCCTCAGGGGAGTTCAGCGACATAGCCATTACGCTAACTGCTGGTCCCCTCTCTGTCTTTCTGGCGAGCACACGCACCCTATACAAAAATCTCTCCAAAAAAAGAAAAAAAAATTGTGAACACTGGGCCAGCTCCATGACATGGTGATAATGTGCCACTCAAGGGGAGCTGGATCCCACATGGCCACCATGGTTTGAATGCCTGACCCAGTCATCCTGAAACACATCAGGCCCAAGATCCAGTGTGTCGGGACTGGAGAAGGAAATCACAGCATGACAAGACCTGTGGACAGTGCCCATTTTGCTTTCTTTCTGTCTCTCATGTATGCTCACATGTTCTATCATGAATAAAGAAAAAAATATTTTTAATTTTTAAAACAATATGAAGGGCTGGATGGTGGTGGCATGGTGGTTTAGGCAGTTGGATCCCACATGACTGATTGTGCAGTTCAAGTCCGAGACCCGGTGGCATGAAAAACCCATTGTGCACTGTATGTATGTGTGTTCTCCAAATCCTGAGAGGAAAATAGAAGAGAGTATTGTGGTGTGGCCATCCCCATGTGGGATTGCTTTCTCACCTTTCCTCCCTTTCTCTCTCTCTCTCACTCTCTCTTTCTCTCCCCCTCTCCCTGGCAAGTGCACAGACTGTATAGAAAACCAAGGAGAAAATAAGAAAGTATAAATTCTTGGTTTTCTTTTTTTTTTTTTAACCAGAAAGGTTTTATTGTTTTCTAGCATGGATTTGTTTCAAGTAGTTGCCAATTTGATAGGTTAAAAAAAAGTTTATTATAGATTTAATTTCTATAAATACCCTTTAGATCGGCATCTAACTTTTTTTTCTAGAAAGTTTTTGGCCAATTATTTTTCTTTTTCTTTTTTTTTTTTTTGGAGAGATTTTTCGCTATAGGGCACGTGCACTTGCCAGACAGACAGAGACATAGAGACAGAAGAAACCCCCCCCCCCCAAGGGAGAACGGTCACGCCACAGTCCCTTCTCCATTCTCCTCTCGGGATCTTGAGCAGGCACACACACGCGCCCGGCGTGAGTTTTAAGCCACCAGGTCTGGGATGCAAACCGTGGTCGACTACGTGGGAGTCCAGCAACATAGCCATTACGCTAACTGCTGGTTCCTGGCCAATTTAACCATTTTTCTGTTGGGAAGCCAAGTGCTCTTTTTACACACTGAATTTTTAATGGTTCCTAATGGATTAAGTATAGTTTCTGTCAATTATTGCAAAAATGTTTCTTGTGTGCTCTTTATTTCAAGTTATGTTTTAGAAGCTTGTGATTTCTTCTATTTGCTTTTATGCTTAGAAAGTCACTAATTGATCCAGAGATCAATTTAGTATCCACTGACAAGTTTATGTATTTATAATGGTTTAATCTGTACTTATGCAGTTACTTTTCTGGGATTTGTTTTGGGATGTGGTAACTTCCCCACATATTTAGATAATTTTGCCCAGTTATCTATCTTTAGAGCCCAGTAAAGGTGGATGCCTGTGTGTGTGTTCTCTTTGGTCTTGTCTGACACTAGTACCATGATTTTGGAGCTCTGTATTTTAATATACTAGCAATTTCAGCAGTACCCCTCTGTCCCCAGATAAGCACAGGGCTAGTGGAGAGTCCTCAGGAACACTGATTACAAAACACTAGGAGTTAAGATACTATGATTGTATTACTATTACTGTATTCCACTAGGACTTTGATAGCAAGCCCAAGACAAAAGACTAGATCAGGGCCAGCAGGTGGCATGGTGATGAAGGTGGCTGGCTGCCACATGGCTGAGTACATAGTTCAAGTCCCAGACCTGGTGGCATGACTTGAAAAACATGCTAGACACAAGTGCATACATGCTCAAAAAATATGGAGTAGAGAAAGAACTGGCAGCATGGTCATCCCCCAGGATGGTGATTTCTCACTTGCCCTCTCTCTGTGTGGTTCTTTCTGGTGAGTGTACACACCTCAATAGCAAGTTTTTAAAATTAAAAAAAAAAACGGGACCAGCGTATGGCGTAATGATTACATTGCT